TAAAAAAATTGAGTTTCAACCAAATCCAGTTTGAAACAAACAGATCTGGTTGTAAGCGGAGATGGTTCTTTTTTTCTCTCAAATCCAGTTTGAAACAAACAAATCTCTCAATTTTTTTTCTTTTTGTTTGCAGCATATTCCAAAATATTTTTACGAACACCTTCCTGAATCACATAGCACAGCGGTTCTTCACTATGATGGCGAGCCTTGGTTTATGGAAATTAACATGGGTAAGCGGAGATGGTTCAAAGACGGTTGGAAATATTTTGTGATGAATAATAACATCAAGCGGGGTTGGTTAATTAACTTTGAGTTGGTCGAAATTACAGAATTCTGTGTTATCTTCCAATTGCACGTGACAGGCCGAGGAACTCTCCAAGATCCCGTTGAAATTAACTAGTTATATTTTGTCTTCCCAGTTTGTGTTGTTTTTAACTTTTGTTAGCTTTTTTTATGTAATATGTACTTTTATTTTCCAGTTGGTTATTATGTAATGTGTATTTTGATTTCGGACTCTTTTGATTTTCCAGTTATCAAATTGGTATATCACTTGGTATCATTTCATTGCCCTAACTACAAACCCTAACTATATAGTTGGAATGTGAATAGTTTTTAGTTCAAAAAAGGGTTGGTAACCGAAATAATAAATGCAAGTCAACTAACACCAAATTTCCCCTGAAACAAACGCAATTCAACTAACATCATTAATTACGACAATGCAAACAAAACCAGATAGTGTGGCCAAAAATAGGTTGTTTTTTTCACTGACAGAAAATCAGGATGTTTGATACTGGCTTGGCCCCTATAAATATGGTCACATACTCAAACACTAAAGACCTAAAACACTCACAAACCCTAGTTTACTCTTCTACTAGCAGTGACGACATATCTTACTCTTCTACTTCCAGTGATATTGAAGAAGAGATTCCTCCAACTTTTGAAGTGATTATGACTGATTCATGCACTTAAAATTCAACCTAATTCTACCTACACACTACTAAAACGGTTGGGAATAATAAATGCTTCATAGTAACTAAATGTGAGTATTTTAGTTATTAGTTTGAAATGATTATAATGTTATGAAGTCTTTCACTTCTAATCACATTTTCTTAGTGTAGTCCGATAAAATGAAGTAAGAATAAAATGAAGAATATTTAACAATGATAATTATTATCTCACACGTTTAAATTATTACAAAACAACATCAAAAAATTCAAAAAAATCTATATCAAATCAAATTAAATAAGATTCAAACTTAAATCATCTCAAACTAAACGGTCAAGTCTTCTATCTCCCAGTCTGCTTCATCATTAAGATCAGGCAAGCTACTGTGTGCTTGTACTGTTGCATCATCTTGCTGTATAGAGTAAATAACACTAATAAGCAATGTATTTTTCGGAAAAAAATATAATAATAATTTGTTATACTTTACCTCAATTCCTTCCGCTAGCCCAGTATTTCCACCACCTCTACCACCACCTCTACCACGGCCTCTACCACCACCTCTACCACCACTTCTACCACCACCTCTGCCAACACCTCTGCCAACACCTCTACCACCACCTCTACCCCTCCTATTACCTCTAACTCCACTTCCACCAGCCGTTTGTGAACTTCTAAAGTATGAATCAATTCGCCCTCTATATCTATTCAACCTTGGACGTCCACGAGAAGCTACGTATCTAGGATCTCTTATATTTCTTCCTTCACCATCACCCTCACCCTCACCCCCACCCTCACCCACACCATCATGTGTATCTTCAAATTCCCAATCTGGAATTATCATTTGATCATCATCCCAATTCAAAAGGTCATGCTCCAATCTGTTCAAATGATACTTAATATATCGCCTCATCACTTCAGTGTCCAATGCTATATCACAAACCCGTTCAAAATGCTTTAATAGTTCCCTGTACATCATGTATTCAGAAGTCATACGTGGGTAACCTCCAAGAAAGAAACGTTTCAAGTGCGGACGAACAACATCTTTTCTCCACCTTCTCAATATATACCTCTCATTAACGTTATTAATCCTCTTATGAGACAACACCTTAAGTATATGGCAGCATAGAATACCTCTTGTTTAAAACCACTTGCAGCTGCAACTTAGATATTCGCCAATAGGTGTATATTCAACCGCGAATACAAATGGATCTCTAGTGTTAAAACTCCTGAACGAATAATCTGAGATAATGTAATTCTCCACCTCAGCTGTTGCTTGATGGTCTTCAGGGGAGCTGATTTCACAGTGGTACAGTTTCCTTAACTGTACTTGAAAAAATTCAAACACTTCACGAGTATAACATGTTTGAAATTTTTCCTCCCATGCAAATTCAGATAAACATTTTGGTTCAAAGCACCTTGACCTATATTCAGCTTCCAATTCTTTCTCGAACTTAGCTCTTATGGCTAACTCATATTGCTGAACAAATAGCTTCAAAGTGCTCTGCCGGTTGATGAATCCGTCAAAGAAAGCATGCTTTCCTTCACTTCTTTGTGTGGACAACATCCCAGCCCAAAAGTGGCCATTTAGGTATACCGAAACCCATTTCTCCTTCTCCAAATAAAGCTTATAAAACCAATCCCTTTCCTCTAAGTTATATTTTTCAATAAAATCAGTCCATTGTCTCTCAAACTCAGCAACGTTAATGCTATCAAGGACTAAAGCCTTAAATTCTGCCTTTGCAATCTTACCATCAAGAACTCCACTTAACTTCGTAGGCAACTTTGCGAATATGTGCCATATACAATATCTATGTATTGTATTTGGCATCATAGCACTGATGGCAGCCTTTATACTATCACATTGGTCAGTCATGATAGCTAATGGATGAACATTGTTTAGAGCCCCAAGCCATGTAGATAGCACCATTTTGTAACTTATTATATCCTCACTAGACATAAGAGCACATCCCAAAAGTATGGATTGCCTATGCTGATTGACACCAACAAATGAAGCAAATGGCATATTGTATCGATTCACAAGGTATGTGGTATCAAGGCATATTACATCATGGAACTCCTCATATGCAACCTTAGAGTGTGAATGAACCCATACGACATTACGAAGTCGACCAAAACTATCCACATCTATGGAGTAGTAAAATTCCCTATCTTTTTGCTGCATGCATTGAAGAACTTGAGTAATGATTGTGCATCCCCTTCTTGCAACTGAAGCTTTCTACTCTTCAAGATATAATTTCTACAGTCCTTTGGTGTACAACCCAGATTTTCGGGGCCACCAGCAAGTACTTCAGCGACTCTTATACTTTTTGAGGGTCTTAAGCCAGCAATATCTTTGGCTGCAAGAGTTCTCTT